AGACGAAGGAGACGAGGTGGACGGTGAATGGATGTGGGTTGAAGATAGATGTGTCAGACTGGCAATGGCGCAGCATGGTGTGGGTGGACGGTGAATGGTGTGGGTGAATGGTGGAAGCAAGTTTGATGTTAGCATGATGCTTTTGATGTGCCACTTGGCAATGGCGCAGCACTAGCGTCACTGCCAGGTCACCACATGCCACTTTGAAGGCTCCATTTCAGCCTCCTGAGAACTGTAAAGTGGGTTTTCCTCCTAGAGCTGCCTCCAGTGGGGAGCAAGCTCGCATGTCTTTTCTCCAAAGAGGCTGCGGAAGAAGCCTCTTGATGGGAGAAGTTCCACATCCCACAGTGGACAGTCGAACTCATCCCTCCCTCAAGAGCCTTCGGTTCGACCCTACAAGGTGGACCTCGTTTTGTACCACCATCCCGGACAGGATGGGAACCTTGTAGTCTTAACCTGGACTGGGAACCAAGTCCCAAGTCCAAAGCACCTGTTCTTCCTGGCAATTCTCTCGATCCTTTACATAGGAAATGGCTACAGCACTGGGTTTCGTTCCATCCAGAACTCTTTCTGTTTGTGGGGTTCCTCACCGGTCCTGGTAGCTCTGTGAACACGCGGTAGCTCCTGCCGCCGCGTGCCGTGCAGCGTGCCTCAGGGGTATTGATCCTTCGTTGATTTGCTCGCAGTGTGTGAAGGTCTTCACAGGCCTTCGATGGGGAGAAGAAGATGAGAGATGGGAGATGAAGGAGATGGTAGAAGCAATAGAAGCAAAGTTTCGTTTTTTCGTTGAGAAACAGAAACAGAAGGTTATGTGAATGTAAGGTTTGTATATGTTTGTATATAGGTTTGTAAATTATATATATACATGCACACACACATTTTTTTTGCTGTTTGTGTGAAGCACCACATCCGAAAGGCTGTGTAAAAGTTGGGGAAGTTGACCACGCAGTTCTGGGCAGGTGGCGCATATGAAGATTCCGGCATCGCGGCTCTGGGCTGAGCAGCTACTGGTAGGGCGGTGTGTTTTTTTCATGATTCGTTCTGGTGGGTGAACACATTTTTCTATCGCATCCCCTGTTTTTTGACTCCCCGTTGATTTACTAAGGATTTTACCAAACAACCGGTTCTGAGTCTGTTTCCAACCGTTGTTTTACCTATCGCTTGTACCCTGCAAAGCCAGGTGAACCATTGGTAGTCTGGGTCTTCACTGAAGGCGTATGGAGACATGGAAACGGTACCCTTTTGAAGGAGAAGACATGGAAACTGCCACAGTTCTGTGTGCAACAACCAATTTTTCCTCCACCAAGGAATATGACAATGCAAGTAAGGAACAACCGACGGTTCTGAGAAATGATCAAGAAAGAATACAGCAAAAACAATCAAAAAGCAAAACAAAAAACTGAACCCAGAAAAAGATTGAAACAACTAACATGCAAGACAAAAGAACATGTTCTTTCTTTCTTCCAAGTGTTTGGCACTTTTCTGGATTCCACTGAGCACAGAACACACAGTACACATAAAGAAAGCCAAACACTTCACTTTGCTGATCTTGTTCTGTGCGTTTTGTTTTCCTTTGTTTGTATTTGTTTTAATGTGTTGTTCTTGGTACAGTATATTATGTTTTCATATCTCTTTTATTTCATGAATGAATGTGTATTTTCTTTCTGATACTGTTTGTTTGCTTCATTCTTCTCTTCTCTTTGTCGCACAGGAATTCCAACAAGACTAGGCCTAGGCGTCCAGTTCGACTATTCTGCAACCACCGAAGTCTTCAGGACATTCCTAGACTCGGGTCACCGTTCGTCAGTCCACTTATGTCCACTTGACATGGGGTCTTTCCTGGACTTCCAGGGTTTTAATCCACATGCCAAGCACCTTCTCCGCCTTTTCCTTCAACCCCAAAACTCCTGCGACCCGATCCCAACTGCTCCAACCGTCCAATCGCCGCACCGCGCCGCACCGCGCGATGTGCGCGCGATGTGCTTCACCCCGGTGGAACGCTCAGGTGCCGGCCGTACCGTCCATGTCTGACGTGGTGCAGTGTTTGTCTTTGTCCGTGGGCGAGGTCGAGGGGCCCCCCGACTCAGCCGGTGTTGAGCGCCTTCGCCGGTGGCCGTGAGAGCATGAGCGCATGAAAGAGGAGCTGCTCAAGTCATCTACAGAAACCCTAGAAGTTCAGTTCGACTATTTTGGGCACATTTCTGGACTCGGATCACCGTTCGTCAGTCAGTCAGACCGTTTTACACAACATGTTTTTTCCTGGAGTCACAAGACGGGGTGCCGCACTTGGAGGAAGTCGGGGTGCCCCTGTCACATCCACGAGCCCTGGATGGGACGAAGCAAACCACCCAACTCCATGACAAAACTCAGGTCCAAACTTTTGGTCCTCAGAATTGGATGGAAATCATGAGCCAACACTGACCAACCGTCGCGTGGACCGTCCCGTAGACCTCCGTCCGCGTCGACCTTTCGTTGAGGACCGGTGCCAATGCGACAGCTGCCACTGGACCGGGTCAGGCGTCACGGCTGGGCGAGCGGGCGAGCGAGCTGTGGGGCGGCCAGCGCCGAGAGCGCAGTGGCAGTGCTGGATGCGTGTGGATTCTTGCACCCTGCCGGTGTTTTTCATCAACATATGCCCAGACGCGACCCGAACTCGGCCCCGAAGATTCTGGAGGGATCGTTCTCCTGAATCCGAACTGGTCAGGGGTCTGGGGTCTGGGGTCGAACCATTCCCTAAGGTTTTTGAGGGACCGGTCGGTGTGTTTGGAGCGTCTGGGTGGAGGTATTTGAGGAGTCGGAGTTACATTTTTTTTAAAATAGTAAAACCATTAGTTAGGAACAAAAACAACAACATGGCATTGCTTCGTGAACCACGGTGGCTTTGGTAACACCGATCTGGGATGCTTATGAAAGAGCAAAAACACATAGGAAACAAGGGCAGCCTGTGGTGGCAGACCTTGGGGGATTTGGATGGATTTGGGGATTCTCTTGGTTTGGGATGGGTGAGCCATGGGGGTGTTTTAGGTCCAGGTGAGCGGTGGAGGCCCAACTCCGACTCCTCAAACGCCCGACTTGATGCCCGCAAGCTGCGGTGGGCGGTTCCATTCCACCGGGTCGTCGTCGTTATTCTCCCCCCTTCAGGTCGGCGATGGAGGTCCGTTCGACACCCCCCCTAACGAAGGTCGGGGGTTGGTGTTGGAAAGTGCATCACCCCTATGGACGTGAACGCAACGGGCGCTGGTGCGGACAGCGGGAAGCGATCGTAAGGATGCCATTGGGTGTGGAGACCTCGGCTGGTCCTTCGTGCGGGGTCAATGGGATGAGCTGGAACATGAAGTATCATGAAGTATCGTGAAGTGATTTCCACGAAATGTTATTTCAAGGTACCGTACTGCGAAGTAGTACTCATGAAGTGCAGGGTATGATACCCACGAATTCTGCCGCAATGGGTCAATCCTAGGGTCTTTTTTCTCATGTCGACAACCATGGCGAACCAATGTTGTAAGATCTTGTAAGTTGTAAGTGGCAAAACTCGAGTTTTCGTTGGTGCTTGCTCCAGGGTCCCGAACCACACCATGCAAAAACACAGGTTTTCGCATACAAAAAACCATGCTTTTTGCTAGGGAACACCAGGTTGTTGTATGGGCCATGTGGGGCCCCTGGCTGTTCTGATTCCTCTGAGCCGAACAGGTACGTTCGACACCGCGTGGCCGTTTTCACCACCGCACGTTCCTCGATGCTCCCTCCGCACCGCCGGATTCACAGCTTCGCAGCCAGCACTTCGAGGGATTCCGTTGGCAGGTGGTCGCACGCAACCGCTCGCCGCTGAAACAGACGGCCTTCTGCAATTATGCCCCGGCGACCCAGTGGAGTCGGATGAGTACGCTCTTCACCAATGGGTACTGTATGGTCCGGTCGGTATGGTACAGTCAACAGAGCGGCTCAGAAACGGTCAAACAAAACCATACCCCAAGCATATGTCTTGGCGATGTTCGCCGACACAACCAGCTCTGGAGCTTTTGAAACTCCGCGGTCTTGGAGCGGCCTTTTCAGGATGCTAGATAGGGTGAGAGTATTCGTCTATGATGTCACTGGTCTTGAAATAGGGTGAGTATTCCCCTGGGCCCGGAAGTGGGGTTCACTTGCTCTATATTTATCCTGGCGAACCTTCGGGAGGTCTCCGAGCGAACCGTGACCTGGTCGGAGTTCCGACCACTCCGCCACTGTGGGGAGGGAGGGCTGGTTTTTCGACCTGGTTCCGACCACTCCGCATGTAAAGGAGGAGGAGAAGGGCCCCCCTCCCCCCCCCCCTCCCCCCTTCCATGAACCAGATTTCATCGACGCTTTTCCAAGGCTGAGAACCTTTTGGACGTTTTACGATGGACCTTTCGGTGTTTGCTGAAATGAACACCATGTTCAAAAACACTGACTGTGCGCATTTTGGTTCACCATAACTTGTTTTTGGATGTTTTTGGGTGGTGTTTTTGGAAGTACTTGAAACTTGTAAGTTGCGGGGGGTCAGGCATCTGACGAGCGAGTCTGCCACTTTCGACGACCCCACCCACGACCGTGACGAGTGGGTGTCGCTGTTGCTGCGGACGACGTCGTCCGCCTTTCGAGCCGTAATGCCATGCTCAGCAGCGATGCGATGAAACGGATGGAGATGGGGCAGTTCATCAACGCTTGAGACAAGTTATAAGTAATATACATAAAGTAACTATGATATCCAGGAATCCATTCTTCTTTAGGGGCAGGAACAGCATTTTTTTGATGAAACCCCTTGTTTGGTCAAAGGATGTCAAAGGGTCCAAATGCTACGAACCGAAGATACACTCCTTTGCCTTTCCTCAATACACGATTTCAAGCCTTTGAACCACCATCCACATCCATCCACGGCGGAGGAAGGACTGCCTTCAGTTTCAGAAAACACAAAGCCACCACTTCGAGATATGCAACCCTGCATGACCGACATGGAATCAAACCATCACGTCACGGTAAAGCACAAACCGTAGACCTCAGAGGACCGACTCAATGGCTCCGATGGCTCCATTCCACTGAGTGGCTCACCATGCGAGGAGAAGGTACGACGACCGGGGGTTCAGGGAGGAAGATCTGCAAGGGACGTGATCTCTGCGGAATATGAGTTCGAGTTCGCCTTTATGCTGTGGCTCTTGTCTTGCGTGGTCTTGGTGGGTTAGACGGAGGTCTTGTTCGGAACTTCATTGGAGCGCAGGCACTTGGATTCGATCTGAGCTAGCCTTCCAAGACCATGTTCAATGTGGTTGACCTGGTTTCGTGGTGTCATTTCCACATGAAAAAAGCAAGAGTTGTTTGGTGAAGACCATTAAACCAAGGGTTTTTGGAATCCCAGGGTACATAGCATATATAAATGTCTTGTCGCAGACTCTTCCTGGCAACCGAAGTCGACCCAAAAACGCCGTTACGACGCCGAAGACGACGCCGCTGGCGGTCCGTGTGTCGTGTGTCGTGTTTCGGGTCTTCGATCGGGCGACGAAGGCAGGTCTGCCATCAGCACCACCCGTCTGAGGGCGTGGACGGGTGGTTAGAATAGCATTGGCATTGCTACATCTGAACTGCCCAGATGCGACCCTGGACCCTCATATGGTCTCAAATCCCTATGGTTTGGTTCGGGACCGGTCGGGCTGTGAACGGAGCGTCTGAACTGGGGGAATGTAGACACCACCCGTCTCCTGTGGTTTGATCTGGTACCCAGACGCTCTGTTCACAGCCCGACCGGTCCCGAACCAAACCATAGGGATTGGTTCTCCAGACCCCTCCAGAGGATTCGGGTCCGACCCCTGCATAGGTTCGGGTCGCGGGTCGCGCGCGTCTGGGTATATATATAGATTTCAGCCTTTTCCTTCTTCAGAACTTCAGGCCCAAACACCCTGAGGGACCTCGCCTCCAATTCCGGATCGAACCTCAGCCGGGATGGCTGAAAAGCCCCGGGAAACGAATAAAATCGAACCTGCCAGGTTCCTACATCCTCCTCAAAGCTTTCCAGCAACTATGCGCACCTGCTGGCATGAGGGTCACCAACGGCTGGCAACCATCCTTGAGCCTTTGGCCCCATTGCTTAGTGGTGATCCACTCGCGTTTACGCTCGGTCCGCCGCGACCGGTCTGGCGTTGAGACCGGCTCGGTCCGCACGGCTTTTGGTCTAGTCTTACGTTGAGACCGAAAGAAGGCTTGGTGTTCTAGATTGAATATATAACCGTTCGCCTTTAAAGCCCATTAAACCTGATTTTTGGTAGTCTAAAATTCGCAAACCCATGGGTTCTCTGGTAAAGACCATTAAACCATATTAAACCCATCATAAATGTTGCTGGAATCGCAGGTATTATATAATCCTTAGATAGAAGAATGGCTGTTCGATAACACCTATCCCTAGAATCCCTAGAAGTCCAAGACCATTGTTGGGACCACCGAAGTAATGCAAATTCCTCGTCGCGTCACCGAAAGACTTTTCACATCCTCCAGGACTCCGACTATGGTTACTATACTAGCGATGCACTAAGCTTAGTATAGCTTCTGGTTTCTACCCAGACGCTCCCCGTTGGGCCCCGAACGTAACTGCTATACATGTTGGCTCGGTCCATGTCACGACCGGCGAGTGCTCCCGGTCCCGGGAGGTCTGAGGTAGTCAGCCGTTGAGTTGAATGGATCGAAATCCTTTGGAAGAACTCATTGAGTTGAATGGACATCTACAACATTCGATTATAGATGGTGATATTCATAATTCTGGTTTTGCTACCTTCCTCTTGTTAAGCCATTGTTGATGGAGTTTTCACTTATGGAGTTTTCGCATGGCCCACCACGGTCTTTCTCCGGACCCCCTGCGGGATCCAGGTCCGCCGAAGGGGTCCGAATTGGTTGGGGTAAAGGATCTGAAAAGGATCTTTTAATCAGAGCAAGGTCAAACATGGTCAAACATTTGAGAAACGGTTGAGGTGGCGAGGCTAGGGTGATGATGATCAAACTCACTTAGTGGTGGTGGGTCGCGCTGGGTTGGGTTCCGTGGAAGATTCATTTGATGACACTTAAAATTAGTGGAGAAAGATGTTAGGCTGGTGCAAGATCTTCCAGGAGTACTTCAGTACGAGCTGTTTCTGGGGGTCGGCTCAGTGAGCTTTCCAGCTCGATGTGAAAAGACGTCCAATGGTTACCTCCTACTTGCCCAGGCCCTGGGTCTTCAGAACTGCCTTCTGAGGAATATCAAGGACTTCGAGCATGTGGGGAGCTCCAGAGCTCCAGAACTCAAACTGCAGGGGTGCAGAACTTGGAGGATAGGGATTGCCCATTTGGTCCGTCAAAGCATTCCGAATTGAGAGACCCTGGACGAGAAGCGTTCGAAACATGGGCGTAGCAGAGGGTCGCCGAAGTACCGGTGCCGAGTCTTCACCCGGGGTAGATGCTCTACGCGGTTTTTGGTGGAGAATGTTCAGACCCTGCATAGATTGGTGAAAAAGATCCGACCCCGAAACTTTCGAGGGAGAAGGCCCGTTCGGATTCTTACCCAGACCCTCCATATATGGTACCCAGACAGGATTGCTCGTGAATCCTAGGTTTGTCCCTTGCTTGTAGGCAAGTTCATGCAAGCTCCATCAGTTCCAGGGGCCCCACATGGCCCATACAGAAACCTGGTGTTCCTTTATCGGAAAAAAGACCGTGTTCTTGTATGTGAAAACTTTTTGTATGTGAAAACCTTTGTTTTTCATGGTTTGCTTCGGGCCCCTGGTGGTGTCTGGGTTAGGACTCTTGGTTCCACAGGTCTCACATGACCCGAGGTCAGAAGTCCGATGAACTCGACGTGTGTGGTGAGGGGCCCCCGTTGGTTCCGGTCTGAACGAAGAAAAGAACGGGACCATGAATCCCAAACTATGCTATAGCCTTCAAAGACCAACTTTTGGATTTAGTCTAAAAAACCTGAGACTTATATGGTGATCTCCAGATCGAGACGGTTGCAATCAATTTGTAGTGTGGATCTACTTTTACTATCTATTTGGGGACCACACTAATAACCTATGGTCCATGGTTGTTTGGCGAGCTAGATCAATGGTGGCTTAGGACTCTGGACGCCACGAAGTCGGTTGGCTGAGAACATCATCCCTCCTCACAAAATCCTGGAACTGAACTGGACTGAACGGGACTTCTGGACTTCAGGGTGGTGCCACCATGTCTGGCCTGGCCAGCGAGATCGACATCCGGGCACCTTGAGCGAGCATCGCGGGCGGACAGACTCATGACAGGTGCTTCATGCTGTACCAGGACCCGACTCTACAGGTCACCACCTGCGACTTTTCAGTCTCCAAAAGCCACCGGAGGAGACCTGTTGGAGGGTGCTGGTAGGGGGGCGTCGACCGAAGAAAGACATCCTTTCCACTACCCGAAGACTCAACACCCACTGAGCCTCCACACCCAACACATCCCAACACCTTCGGCGTCCGGACCCTCATAGGCGCCTATTCGGCGCCTATGTGTTGGACGGCCGGTTATACTTAGGGCGATGGAGGTGAAGCTGCATGGAGGGTGAAAACACCGCCCTCACCGTGGTTCGGTGAAACAGGGCGATGTTCCCAGTGGAACTTGCAGAAACGACTTCTGAGGCAGGGAAAGAAGTCCTTGGCTTTCCAGAGCACACCAGAGCACCTCGCCCGCAAGTGAGGCTATAAGCCTCTGGTGAATGAAGTTCAGAGGCGTCGCCTGGTTCGCAACCAAAGAGAGAGGACCCCGAAGAGGATTGTCATTGAGTGGATAGCTCACCTATTATGTTTCAGACCTTTTCAAGCTCTTGCGGACCTTGTTGTGAGATGTTATGAGGAACTCCGGTTTCGTTCGCCTAACACGCTCTCGTTCACACACCTGTGCCAGCGGCTCGTGTTTCCCCACGTTTTTTCCGAGGTCACCGATGCTCAGCTTCAGGACGAGCGATTTCTGGGCTGTGACTCGGATCTGAGCCCTCCCTGAGTCCTCCGGTCGCTGGAGTGGATGCGTTACTCCCTGGGAGTCCGTGTCGCCCACCATTGGGTCTGAATCCCAAAGAAGAACGGATCACCAGCCCCACCCAGTTTGGGTGGTTTATAAATTCCCCTGAAGATGTATGTTTCAAGAACCACCCATGCAGTTCGGGTGGTGCTGGCATGAGCTCTTTCACAACCAGACTCCACGCTTCGCTTCGTTGGCTTCGCATCGAGTTCGGGAGACCGGCGAGACAGGGGAAAACCCGACATCGTCCGACCCAGGGTCGTTGACCGTAAGCCTTGGAAACCCATTGAATCGTTGTGATGGGCATCTCCGGGTCCGGAAGTATATGGAACCCTGGTTGAGGGGAATTGGGTCATCGAATGGGGCAGTTGGGGCTCTCTTGCCATGGTTCTATTCCAAGCAGGCCCTGCCAATCATGGAGGTGATGGACAGTTTGTGACACATCGAATTGTTGAGTGAGGAATGGTCAAAGATCTGGGCGTGGATCAAAGTGAAACACCTGTAACCATGGCGGAAGCATCCCGCAAGAATCATTCTTTCCTTTTTAGGATCTTTTGGATTATTTTTGACGACTTGTTCCCCTCAAAACGTCACTGCTCAGTAAACAGCTGCCAGCCCAGCCGCCAGAAACCTGCCACTCTACTGTGCCACGTCACTGAGCCGATATAGATGGCCCAGATCATCTCAGATGGCCTTTTATGCCCTTGCTTGCTTGATGAATAGAGGGGACCCCGAAGCAAACAAATTGATTCATCCAAGGTACCCCCCTTTCGCTTTTGTATTTGTTTCGGCCAAGGACCCTTTAAATGACCCCTCTCTGGTCGGTATGTTTGTCAGACAACTCTCTTCAGTATACACGGTGTGGTCCTGGTACCAGGATCATCCCATGAGCGTCCAATGGACTACCGTACACTCCTTCGATGGGTTCCATGCTTCCATGGCTTTCCATGCTCTGCGCGCGCGCTTCGACACGTGCGCTTCCGTACGCGGCTGTGTCGACGACCCCGCCCGGATGGCACGTCCAGGTGACGGTCTGGAGGAGTCCTTGAAGATGGGCTGTGGCTATGCGAAGCACGCGCGCCTCGGTCGGTTTCGCACGTGGGGCCGGACCGTGGCGTCGGGTCGCGACGGTGGAGTCGGAGTCTGGGGGTTTTGGGCACCTTTCCAAGATTCCAAGAGCCACCCGGAAAAGATGGAGATCCGGGATCATCCTATAGTAGTTTGTGTATGTTTGTGTGAATCCGGCCAGGTGTTCGAGCACTATGCATGGTTGATTTGAATCCGCTGCCACCTTTCGTTTAGCCGGCCTGAGACGCGAGAACGGCATGACTAAGGTTACCAGCTGTCAGCACGGTTCCCGCCCGCTTGCATGGGGAGCATGGCAGAGCAAGGATTACACAGCACAAGCCAAGAAGCAACCACAACATAGTTTCACAGGCATGTCACTTTCGTGTTTGTTGCGGAAAAGGTGCGCTTGCTACCACTTGCGTATTTTGCACTGGTAGAGGAGCCGGCAAAGTCCGGCTCCACTCATGGCGTTTCGCGATGGTTCTGGTTCGACTGCACTGTATAGGGACGATGAAGTGTTGGTCGAGCGTGAAGGCATACCCCACTATAGCGGTGCAGATCCTGGACTGATGCGTGAGTATAGGAGAAGAGTGCTTTTCGCATATGCAACTTTAGGTGGAGATGGAGATGATCCCCAGGAAGAGGCCCGTGATCTTCAAAAGAAACAGTCGCGCTTCGCGAAGAAGTTGCTGGACGCCTTGCATGGAGAGGCATGGCGGTGTTGTGCAACTTTGCTTGAAGACACCACCAAGCTGAGAGAGAAAGACGCATACAAGCACACCTTCAAATGCCTCCAACAGATCGAGAAGGTCACCGTCATCAAGAAGACAGGCATTCGATGCCTATTTCGAGAAATGCCATCGCAAGAAGGGTCAGAGTATCGACCCATTCCTTCGACAGCATGATCAGGTATGGGCAGACTTGCAAGACCTCACAGATGGCACAATACGATGTCGGAAGACCTGCGCACATACTTTTCGTTGAAGCATGTTGGATTGAACAAGGAGGACAGGCGACGCATCCTACTTTCCAATCAGAGCAACTATACTTTGGACGGTGTGTCACAAGCCCTTCGAGTCTCGTTTTATGATGTGCTTGAGCGTGAGAAGTCTCAGCGAGAGTGGAATCCTCACGGCAGCAAAGGCCAATACTACAACAAGAAGAAGCACTATGCCCATTTGGTTGCAGATGAGCCTGAGGACTATGCTGATGCCAACTATCAGGAGTCGGAGCCAGAGGAGGATTTTGATGAAGCCTTTGCCATTGAGGACGCAGAAGGTGAGCCTGATGACCAACCCGAGCAATCCGACATGGGTGCATCAGGTGATGAGGAAGTCTTTGAGGCTTATGCGGGTATGGATCGTCAGAGGAAGTCATATCATGAAAGCCGCACGCACCTCAGGAACCTTCAGAAGAGCCGTGGGCTTTTCCACGGTGATGTCAAGGGCGAGATCGGCATTGAGGACCGTCGTGCAGCAGTGCAGAAGGAGAAGCAGCGTTCGAGGTGTGCAGCATGCGGGAAGATTGGCCACTGGGCCGGCGATGCGATTTGTGCCAAGAGTTCCAAGTCGGGGCCAAAGAAAGTTGATTCAAAGAAGAAGGGTTCCGGCAAAAGGGAAGAGCAAGGGCAAGGCATATTTGGTAGGTGAATCCCTTTCGTATTGTTCCGTTGATTTCATTGAGGGTGAAGACGAACAGGTTGATTTTTGCAACATGGTTGGTGAGATCAAGACCGAAGAGGAAGACCCAGATCCCATGTTGGAAGCTGACCTGGATGCCCGTCATCTCATCAGCAGCAGGTTCAGTGATGGACCCCGGTCAACTTGCCTATGTCGCCACGGCAGGCTATGAAGCCACTCCCACCAAGCCTGAGGACACCACCAAGATTGCCCTGAAGGTTGAGATTGAAGTGGCCAGGAGCAACGTCCGCATCCTTGTGGTGCCAAGCTTTGAAGAGGTTCGTCCATTGAATCTCATGGAGATGAAGTTGTATGAGTTGACCACCGAGTGTAAAGCTTGGGGCATTGCTGTGAGTGGACAGAAGGCAGATCTGCAGAATCGCCTGAATTCCTTTTTCCGTGGTGAGCCAGTCCTTCGCAAGGGGTGCTCAAAGCAGTTCATACAGTCGAAGACGGAGATTGAAGAGTCAGGCACATCCAGTTCGCAGATGCCGTTGATGCCCAAGGCCAAGCCAAAGGCCAAGATGCAGCATCGAAGCCTTTGACGGGTCACAAGGCCCAAGCCTACTCCTATGCATCAGAGCAGGAAGAAGAGGATCTTTCCAAGATCAACGATGAGAAGTGCTTCTTCCATGATCCAGTTGATTTTGGATTTGATCCCACGCCATACTTTGAGAGCCCAGACAAATCACCATCGATCGGAGGTACTTTTCGTGGATCACCAAGCCCAAAGGCAACTTCCCCGCGTACATCGTCGAAAGCGCGCTTGGACCCACGTACAGGCATTTTGGTCCCAGCTGAGATGTCGGTGGGCCAGATTGTGCCGTGGCTGCGGTGTCCTGTGGGCGATCGTCCGATGGTTCGTCGCCGCAGCCGAGATGATGCGGGGTTGTTCTTCCGATGTCGAGACTATCCAAGGTGTGGAGGAACCAGGAAGTTTGCAGATGTGGTCGCAGTCGCAGTCATGGGATCACAGAGCAGCACAGCCGGCGCCAGCGGTCATCGTGAGCTGTGCAGTGGAGCGGAGGTTTCAAGAATTCAATAGAAGACCAATGCACAGTCGCAGGTGGAGAGAGGCTTATGAGAAGTCCCTGCCTGCAGGCTTGACCTGCAGTCCAACAGCAACGACAAAGTCCTTCCACTTGGCAAACGGAGCTTCAACAGATGAAAGAGCAGTTGTTTGGCGGGTTCCAATTTTTCTCCAAGGCTTCAAAGGTGAGGTATGCAGTGCAGAGATCGCCAGCGGCACCACACCCCTTTTGTTGTCCATTTCCGCCATGACAGCGCTCGACATGGTTTTGTTTTTGCGCTTGAGAGAAAAGATGGTCGAGATCAGGAGTTTGGAGCTGACAGCTCGTATGCTGACAACACAAGCCAAGCACCTTGCCATTGAAGTTTGTTTCAAAGAGGAGTTTGGCGTGCGTGACCATCATTTTCTCAACCACGTTTGTTGTCGGATCGAGAAGACTTGTTGGTATACTATGGGGAAGAGTCTAGCAACAGGTGACAGACCGTCGACAGAAAGAGCTTAGCAAAGCAGCAAGACAGATTCAGGTGGCTGACAATCGCATGTGGGTGGCTCTGAAACAACAGTACAGCATGGCTGAACAATTTTGCGCACTAGATTTTCAGAGCACCGTTTTGTTCGAACCATTTGCTGGAAGCTTCGTGACAACACAATGGGCTGCAGCGCAATATGGATGGACAAACAGTCAACCACTAGATCTGATAGACGGATATGATTTGTTGACAGCCTATGGGTTGAAGCTGGTGCACAATGTTTTGGATGAGCGCAGGCCTTATTTGACACTCATTGCATTCGATTGCAAGTTTTGGTCGCTCCTTACAAACATGAGTCCTTCTTGCAATTGGGAAGAGCTTCGGAACACCGTCGGAGTTCGAACCTTGAGGCTCGTCGTGTCAATTTGTTTGAAGCAATACCAACATGGCAGATTTTATTTGGTGGAGAACCTGGCAGGCAGCTTAGCTTGGGTTTTCGAACAAATCTTGGCACGGTTGATCGAGGAAGCTGAAGGCAAATTCGTGATTGGAGACCAATGTGCATATGGGCATGAAGATGTTGAATCCGGAAAACCAGTGAAGAAACCAACAGGTTGGCTCAGCAATTGAGAAGCAATACTCGACAAAGTTGGGAAACACTGCAGATGTTCTTCAGGAGCGCATCAGTCTTTGCTGGCAAGAAACAGTGCAGGTGCTCGTTCCAAGCAAGCAGCCAAATATCCCAAGGCATTGAGAGCAGCAATTTGCAATGGTATTCGACACCAGATGCAGATAGACTATGCCACTAGCATGGCTTTCAGAGAGGGTTTGCATGCTTTTGCGGCTGAGGAGCAACAAGAAGAGGCCGTTGAGGGTGATGAGAATCCTTTCTTGACAGGTCAGTACAAAGATTTGTGGCAGCGTGACGGAGACCGTTTGATCAGGCATCACAACATTCCTAGGAGGAAGTTTTTTACACCGCCACCGCAATTCCCAGACAACATTTGTTTAGATGACATTCTGGATGGTCGTGTCACTGAGATGAGATTCCTCGACAGTCAACAACATCAACGACAAGAAGGTCCTTGGTGGAAACAGCAAGTCTCAGAGACGGAGTTCTGGACAGGCAGATCCATGTTTCGGCTGAAACCGCGCGAGGAGTCACCAACGGCTTCGTGCTGGTGAGACATCGGAGGTTGCAAGTTTTGTGCAAGAGCCGTTGTTTGCTTACATGGCAGTTGAAGCAAGTGATTTTCTTGTGAACCAAGCATCTCAACAGTATGAACAGTTTCACGCGTTTTGCATGGAGCATGGCATTAGCAAGTCGAGTTTCTTTTTGCAACGAAGCGCAATAGTTTCGACTATCGGTACACAGATCTTGCAGAGAGAGCCTTTGCAACAGGCCAGACAGAGGCTCCAGTGAAGAAGCGTGGGAGAAAAGAAATTAGGCTCAGTGATCTTTCCAAAGAACAGCAACAGTCGTTTTTGGGGCCCGAGGGATCTGACGCTAAAGAGTGGGAAGCTTGGCTTTCCAAGGATGCACGCAGGGTTTTGGACCCAGCAGCAAGTGCAAGAGTTCGGAGGGAGAAACCAGATCTCATTGTACCTACAAGGTGGGTGCAAACAGACAAGAACAGTGGACTTCCGGACCTTGATTTTCGTGCAAAGAGTCGTCTTGTTGTGCAAGGCTTCAAAGACAAAGCGTTGGGAGCCTACAGACGGGATGCACCGACAGCTAGTGCAATGGCAGAGAGCATTTGTCTTTCGGTGATAGCATTTTACCAGTTCGTTTTGTTGGCAAAAGACATCAAGAACGCATACTTTAGTGGA